CAAGAATCCGGGAATCCGAGAATTCTTGGATCCGAGAATCCGGGAATCCGAGAATTCTTGGATCCAAGAATCCGAGAATCCGAGAATTCTTGGATCCAAGAATCCGGAAATCCGAGAATTCTTGGATCCAAGAATCCGGGAATCCAAGAAATCTTGGATAGAATCATTTTGGAATTGGTTGATTAATTGGTTGGAATTATTCTTAGCTTGGATTCCAAGAATCTTGGACAGAGGTGGGAACTCTTGGGTGCCATCGCTCTTTCGTGGAGGTCTCCAAACTCGAAAACGTGGGATAAGGAACTCAAAAGGAGGGGGGGGGGGCCAGTAGCTAACTTGCCTAACCCATTTGTTCAAAAAGAGACCTCGGAGACTCTTACAACCCTATTTAGAGGTGGGAAACTCTATAGACATACCTTGAATATATGAGTGGAGTCCCAAGCGTTCAGGATCTTACTCTAAGATACTCCAAGGAGTTCTTTGGTTGGTCTGAAACGTATGTCTCAAGCATTATACATAGATATAGACTTTTTTGTATATAATCCAAACTGATCCCTTGGTCTGTAAAGAGGGCGCCAACAAGAGACATCTCCCCTCATGCTTGCCGGTCCTTAATCGCAGCTTTCATAGGGATCGACCGAGCTGCCAGTTCTTTCCTCACGAGCACAGTGCACCGAAAGATGTCCCTATACACAATCATGTTTATCTACATACACCCATGTGTTGATCACCTTCCAGTGCACCCGCGTGCGCCTGCATTGTAAGTGCTGATAAGCTTCGCTGCATGTTGCACACAGCGCTTGATGTCAGCGCGATTCCTCTCCCACAGCTGCGCCACGGAGTGGCCAAATAGAGCTGGGTAATGCTGTGTAGCTTTCAAAGCTGGCCCACCCTGCACACGGTGGTTTCCCTGGGAGTCAATGTACCTCAGAAAGGATTCAGTAAACAAACCTTCATAGTACACAACCAGTACATAAACTTGAACACGCATGCACTAATCAGAACACATGCAGCAAACATACTCATACGTTGAATGTTGGCTTCTTAAATATCTTCTGATTTCTTAAGCCGAAGCTGCTTGATCGAAACATCTTCATCCCACTCCCTGTCTTTGGGCAAAGGGAGGTGGAGCTCTTGCACCCAGCGGTAGTTCGTGTAGAGGAAGGTTCCCTTTGGGCCTGAGATCATCGATCCAAGGTTGAAGCATCAGCTGGAGGACAAGTACGATATGGAGGACAAGTACGTGCTGTAGGACAAGTACGTGCTGTAGGACAAGTACGCGCTGTGATCACGATGCACGACAAGGCACAGCTTCCACCATAAGAGCCAATCCAAATGAAGACCTGAGATATGGGCAAATTGGGAAGGCTGCGCAACCCTCGCGCTCACACATTCTGACACTAGCTACAACTATATATAGCCGGGTTACTTTATAGATGGTAAAGCTCCGGCAAAGTCTCTGGAAATCCGGACGGTATTGGAGAAGTGAACTCATTGGCTGCTCTAAGATGAAAGGTATCTTCAAGACGCAGCACATGTAAATCATAATGCAGCAGCGGGTGACCATCTCATTCCTTGGCTGCTTGCCGCTTCACGAGCTCTCAACTATTTGTAACAGTTTTTGGGCCTGTTGCATGTTCACACTGCATTGCATCACTCGGTATAGTGACGCATGACTTCTACGCTGAGCTATAGTCCCAAATAGGTATACGCTCCGAGTCTGATCAGAGCCTATACACCCCGAGGTGGAGCCAGTCCCATCTAGGCAATCTAGAGGAAAAGATCAAAGATAAGATTTCCAGTGTTTGACTCAAAGTAACAGGTTGTAAGCGACAGGACCTGACTCACCCAAAAGACAGATCAACCAAACTTCCAGGCCCTGTGTGTGGCTGCAGTCATTGCCCAATGCAGGAACACCAACATTGTTCACAATTGTATATACGGTATTTACATCACTTTGTGCATGCAAGCACACACCTATGGCCCATGGCCCAAAAACACAACTAGCGCGGTAGCCCCATCACTTCCTGAGCCTTCTCCCACGCTGCTTGGATGTCATCCTTGGCGAAAGAAATCCTGAGCCAGTTCACAGGTATAACCCAGAAAGACCCTTTGGTGCAAGAAGACTGACCCCAAAGCCAATAAATCACCCCTATACCATGTCTTGGCGAGACTCGACCTTGCAGACGGCCCAGAAAGCAATTTCCCATGGATATCGGACTTGGGCTTTAGAGCTTGCTGTCGTAGAAGAACCTCCACACGGGCCTTTGAATGGACCCACCTCGGATCGAGTCACGAGGCACAAGTATAAGTTGAGTTATAGGAAACGTTCATGAGACAAACCTACAAACAAAAGGTTGAGTTGAGAAACACTGTGTAACTGTGTTGACCGTGTCGAAAACTTGTAGGCTTCAATGGTTCAGGCATCGAAGAAAGCAGCGAATGGTAGTCTTTGTCGAAAGAAGCCACCACATCACCAACACCAGATTCAACTGGGGCTGCCTTGTTCTTCTTCTTGGGTTTCTTTGACTTGGACCCCCCAGACTTAGCCTTCCTCTTCCTCCTCACCGGTGGCTCGAACTCCACAGGTGATGGTGAGCTCTCTGATCGAGAACGTTCTTGATGAAGAGCGCCTGTCTCCTGAAAGGGTCAGTGAGGAAGGTTTGGATCGGCCAGGATGGTTGAACTCGGTGATTATACTGGTTGGTTGGCTTTGATTGAGGGATTGTTCTGTTCACAACCGGTGCCTCGGGTTGAAATAGGACCAGGGCTTTGCACTCAACTGCTTTCTTGACGGACTCCGAAGCTCCAGGTTCCCCTGCAGGTTCAGGTTCCGCTGCAGGTTCCGATGAAGGTGACAGGTTCTCGAGATCCTCCAAACCAAGTCCCTGCAGTTGACAGCTAGAACCATTCACAAATAGAAGGCCTCACCATTATGAAAAGAACCCCAAACAACTCAGACCCTGACGCGATGAGGAGGGACATCATCACCATTATCCCCATTCGAAGATGAAGAGCTGGAGTAGTGATGGAGTGGAGGTTTGTCCTTTACCCCGAAAAAGTTTTCAGGGATGGGATCATCTTCAGAAGAAGAGTTGCCATCATCTTGACTCCCCCCCAACTGCTCGGTTTCCGCTTCCAAATCGACATCGATGTCAGCGCTGGCGTTGCGCATCAAGTCTTTCAAGACCTGCACCCATGCGTTGCGACTGCTGTGCTTGGCGTTCTGCCACTTCCTGGTGACGACAGTAAACCCCATCATGCTTGCTGAAACTTTGGAGACAAGCTTGCCATATATGCCTTGCTGAAACTTGATCTACAGGCTTCATACATTATATATTATATGCTATGTCCTTCGAAGGCCGGACCACAATTTCTGGATTTTGGTCACGATTGACTCGAACATCGTGTCATAGTCCTCACATCTTTTTGACATCCACAGAAGTTAGGTGTCTCATGTTTTGGACAAGCCCCACAACCAGCGCACGCACATTTGATGCCGAGGCGCAAAGGTGTCATTTGCGCGGATGGCAAGGCCCTGCACAAGGGGTGGATACACCAGGAACTTGCAGGACATGGGAAGTGGGACAA